TTTCCTATTTTAAATTTTCAACTGTACGATGTTACCTGGCCACACCTATTTTATCAACTACTTTAAAGTCTACTCATGTACTTTAAAAGTCAATTCAGCAATTTTAAAGTCAACTTAGCTACTCAAGAGTTCCACTCAGGACAGTAATTCAACTATCGTCGTCTCTAGACAAGTCGATCTGTTGCAACAACACAGAAGAAAAATGATCTTTAAGTGACTGAATTAGATTATTTTGCAAATTTTCTAAATATAATGGCTGGACTAAGCGAAAACAACTACCTAGCGTGTCTCTTCCGCCCTAAGCAGACGGAGGTTCGACCTTCCACTGCTACTTGCGATAAATGCCCCACAGGGGGGTTTAACGCTTGGTCTAAATATTCAACAGTACCCAAGAGGATAATTATTATTATTATTATTATAATCAAGGGGGAAGCGCTAAACCCGGAGGATTATACAGCGCCTGGGGGGGGGATATGTGGAAGGCATTCAGGCTTAATTCGGGGAACTGGAGCACAGATCCAATTCCCTAAATCAAGAGCCCCTCACCAACATCAAGGAACCTTCCTTGAGGGGCCCAAGAGGATAAATAATTTACCTTAAATAATCTCTGTATGATGCCTCCCTCCTTCGCAGCGCTGGTCTGCTGACCAGCATGAGACTGCTGAACAGCAATTACTTGTGGGTGCTGTTGATGCAGCTGCTGCTCAAGCTGCTGCTGCTGTTGGTGATACTGCTCGAGTTGATGCTGGTGCTTCTGCAGCTGCTGTGTCATTTTGTGATGCTGCTGCTGCTCAAGTTGCTGCTGCAGCTCCTGTTTGGTTTCCTGCTGCTGCTGCTGCTGCTGGAGTTCTTGCTCCTTGAGTTGCAGCTGCAGCTGCTCTTGCTTTTGCACTTTAACGAAAATAAACCAGGAGGTAATTAGGTACATTGTTAATCAAAATAAAACAAAATTTGAATGTAAATGAATAAGCTAAATACCAGGGATACAGCTTTTTACCTCTGCAGTCTGGCTACAGGCCAGACTTGTATTAACTGCCAGATCAACTAGATTCTTGCTGCGATCAGCACGCAGGCCCATATAAACATTACAGCCTGGCTGTAACTTGATTCAGAAGATGACCAGTTTCCTCCAGAAAACATTCACCATTGTTCCGGCTATATTTCATATTTCTTCTGGTGGAAAGCTTCAGAGAGGTTAGGTTAGGTAAGGTTTGTCAGGAAACAGAACAAGAGCTTCCTGACGCGGGTCTTAGTCATATGATGACCTGCCATTGGAGCTTTTGGTCATCTGACGGAGGCCTTCCTCTGGCTTACCGGTCCACCCCTTCAAAAATTAGGGTTATAATAAGCTGGAGAGACATAAATTAAGAGTATATTAACACTGTGTTCTCTAATTGTTCTGAAGTGAAATGCATGACACTCCTGCATTCACTTGATTTATTCTACATTTTCTCCCGTTTGTACGTCTCTACATATGTCTATCAGTGGTTAGGGAAGTGTGCAAAATATGGATAGCTAAAGTGATCATGTACTTCAATACAAATGTTACACACACACATAAAATATATATATATATATTTTATATATATATATATATATATATATATATATATATATATATATATATATTGAACAAATATCCTCTAACACAGGTCTTTCTTTTTTCCTCTGTGTCAATGTAATTTTGAACACTACTGTTCAAAAATTATATATATATATATATATATATATATATATATATATATATATTATATATATATATATCAAAGCGAATACGCTTTCTCTGAACGTATTTGCTTGGAAATCCTCCTTTTTCTGATGTGTTGATTGCAACACGAAAGGCCTAGAGCTATCATTCAACTCCCTCAGTGTTTATTTTGTATATAATACCGACAAGTAGATGAATAATACACGTGCAACATTGAAGAAAGTTTATTGTGGAGACGTTACGATAACCCGTGACTTTATCAAACCAGTACAGAGAATAATCGGTGGAAGACGACACCAGGTAAAATTTGAGGTGATCAGTCGCTCAGCCTTGACAGCTATTTAATTCGTCAACTTTGATAAATCTGAAGCAGGTAAAACGAAGATGCTAAAAAAGCTACACATATCTCCTTTTTTATTTACTTTTCGGTAAGTAGATGAGGCATTGCAAAGCCTTTTTATTGAAGAATTGAGACACTTGTGCAACATATAGGAATCTTCATTGAAGGAACGTTTCGCCACACAGTGGCTTCATCAGTCGAATACAAAGTAGAAATGGGTAAGGAGAGGAGGCACAGGGCCAGAGAGGTGGCTTATATACTGCAGTCAGGTGATTCGAAGTAGGATGAGGCGGGATCACAGTGAGACCTGCCACTAGTGTAAGTAGGTCGTCGTCCAATGGTTGGAGAAGCGTTGAAGTCTTTGTACCAAGATCCCATGCTGTACTTCCTACAAGAGTGATGGACTGAACACATCGATTCCTGACTGAGGGACTGATTACTTCAGACTCCTCCTCTCCTTACCCATTTCTACTTTGAAATGGGACTGATGAAGCCACTGTGTGGCGAAACGTTTTTCAATAGAGTTTTCCCGTATGTTGCATAACTGTCTCAATTCTTCAACTTGTCGTTTTTCAAAAACTATTCATCACAAAACCATTTAATTAATATGGCTAAAAAAAAAACTGCTTACTGAAGACAAGAAAATATTTAAATATGTTTAAATTCTGAACAAACTCTCTCTTTTGCAAATGAAAAACAAACACGAAAATGTAGTGGAATCTCTTTGTTTGATTAAAAGCCCACTGCCTATTTTTTTGTATTGTATTTAGAAATATTTTTATTTCTATGTTAACGTTTTTAAATTTTTTGTAGCCAAGTGAGTCATAGCTGGTGATGGTCACCTCTGTGCGCTCTGCTAAAAATTGTTAATATATTTTTAAAATATCTTTATTTTTTTAAGTTAATTTCGATATAATATAAGAAACAGTATTTGTGTAGTCTTAGGATATATTGCAATGTGTTATAATGATGATGTTTGAAATTATTGATATAGATTCGCCGGTATAATCGCCCGGTCCGGGCCTTATCCAAGTGGTCGCCCTGCCTTGGCTCCCTGTCGTGGGAGTGTCTCAGACATGTCTGCCGTGGGACGAGGTACAAGTACCTCCTATGTTTGAAGAGGGACAATGTGTTTGGTTGTTAAAGGTGAATGTTGTTTAGAATGCGGAGTCATGTGAAGCCTGGTATGTCTGGTTTAAAGCTAAGATGAACTCTGGAAAGTCAGAGTGAACACCCACTTATCTGTGGGGTGCTTATATTAAAGCTCATGCTGTTTGGGGCAAGTGGTTTAAAAGTTACTTTTGCGCGCTTTCGAGTATTCCCGGAGTATTAGAAATAACTCGAAATGGGGAAAAGAAAAGTGAGTAAACTTTTTTATTCATGTACAGGTACACACAAATATAGTTAGAGTATCATACAAAGTAGCATACGTGTAGATTACCTAGGATAACCAAAAAAAGTCAAAGTGACTTATTCCATTGGGGTCCTTGAAGTGAATGAAAATAGGCCAAGTTATGAGCGTAACTTACATTTTCACTTATGAATAAACCTTTTGTTTTGTCTTAAGAAATGAATCTGAAAATTTTTTTTGGCATAAAGTTTATCTAACATACCTTCCGCATGCTTAGAAACCCTTCTAGAGTTAAGGGATAAAAAAAAAATAAGGCTTCAGGAAAATTGTCCCTGTCTCATAATTTATTTTATCGAGTGGAGATGAGGATATGTGATGGTGCACTAGCGAAATTTTTCCCACGTGAAGGGGTAGAAGGGTAATACAAGGGTCCAAATCTGCACACAGAAATCACTCCCTACGAAAGTAAAGACTGGGCAGGCGATGCAAAATGCCGCCAATAAAAAGTAGGGGGCGCCATTGGTACACTAAGAGAAAATACCATAAGTGTCCGGGCCCAAAACTGTTCAACAGCCTCCCATCAAGAATTAGGGAATTGTCAATAAACCCCGGGCTGCCTTCAAGAGAGAGCTGGACAGATACCTAAAGTCAGTGCCGGTTTCAGCCGGGCTGTGGCTCGTACGTCGGACGGGCGTGCGGCCAGCAGTAACAGCCTAGTTGATCAGGCCCTGATCCATCGGGAGGCCTGGCCCATGGCCCGGGGCCGCGGGGGCGTGGGTCCCCGGAATAACCTCCAGGTAACCAGGTAACCTCCAGGTAAGGGGTGTCTTGTTCCTTCTACCTTTGGGAAGGAGGTGACGCTCACCCTCATGGAGTGAGGCCCAAAGTCACTTCATCTGACTTTTTTTGGGGGTTATCCTGGCAATTTACACATATTTTACCATGAAATAAGATCAGAGTAAACATGTAGTATCACAATATGCAAATTAACCACTGTGAAAAAATTAGTGAGTTTCCAAGTGCTTTCGTGATTTCTCACATAATCAGTTAATAATTTGTGATAATTACGAAACCCGCCTGAAATTCGCATTTTTATCACAGTGGTTTATTTTGCATATGTTACTATGATAATTGTCGCCACCTAAATTAATTAACTGTGCTTAGATATACCTAAAAAAACCCTTACGTAACACTCAGTTGCTATACTGACTGGGGGTGGTGAAGGATCAAGTTAGAGGCTTGATTAACCTGCAGTGAACTAGTGATGCAAGTGTACCTTTCATCAGTATATTTTTTGTTCTTAGTTCTCAAGGTTTTGTATAACAGATTACTGGAAACATTCCCCTCCCCCTCAATTATTATTATTATTATCAAAAGAAAGGGGCTAAACCTACTAGGATCATACATCCCTCCCTCAAGTAGTCAGTCGCTGTTAAAGCAACATCGCGATATTAAAAATAATAAAATAACTAAATTATAAAATACAGATATACTTTTAAAAAAAGAATGAAAAATAAAAAAAATTACAACGGTAATATTAATTTTAATAGAAATAGAGGTTGTAGAAGAAAAGCTATTAAAACAATACACTATGGCAGGATGGAGCCTTTATTGAGACAAGTTTCCCATGAGACCCAGATTTCTCAAATTGATGGCAAAATTAGTACAATAATATTGATGTCTTTACTTTTAAAGTATTCTTAGCTGTCACTAATATTCCTATCGCATTAATCACGTTTTATTACAACTTTTATATTATCAGGAACACAATCACTCACAGGGACACGTTTGGCTTGAGTAGATATTTGAAACCTTCTAGCTATAATAAAAATAATAAATAATAATAATAATAATAATAATAATAATAATATAATAATTATATAATAATAATTATATTATTATTAGTAGTAGTATATTACTTTCTTATTTTATGCATCCCCGGTAGTCATCAAGTTTTCAGATGCTGGCGACGTCCGGCGGTGACTTGTGTAACCATAAGTTGTCTAACAACATTAATAAAAGTTACCTTAGGTTAGTGGTTGCCGATAATTTTAATAAATTTCTTCACAAGAGTACGTGTCGCCAGTAGGAAAATTATCACAGATTTATCCTGATCGGTTTGTGATTTAGGAAAGTTGCATTATCATTGCCATATAAAAGCACTAAATCGTTATAGACATTATAGTAAAAAATGGTATACAATACCGACAAACTGATGAATTGAACTTTTTTCAATATCTGGGTATTTATAGTTTGACGATTTATCGCCAACGTGACTTCTTCTTGGTGACTCTGAAGCACTGGCTTCAGATTCTACTTTACCCCGTTTCCCCTAAACTAAATGGTTATAACTATGAGTAAATTATTGAAGGGGGGACCGGTAAGCCAGCGGAAGGCCTCGGTCAGATGACCAAAAGCTCCAACGGAGGGTCATCATCTAAGACCCGCGTCAGGAAACACTTGTCCTATTTCCTGACGAACCCTTTATCTAA